CGGGGCCTCTCTGCCCCCCCAGCCCAGAAGCTCTCCAGGAGGAATTAGAGGGGATGAAACAAGCAGAAAAAAATGCAGCAACACATGCTGCCGGGCATCTGCAATGAGCTGCTTCCCGGCTGGCCTCATGGAGCAGCAATGTCCTGCGGGGCAGCAGCAGGGCCAGGGGCTCCTGACTTCCCCGGCTGCAGCCGTGTCACCAAGGACATGGGGTGCCACTGCAGCACCCGCTTCCCCGCCTGCAAAATGGGGATGAGGAGCTGCCCTCGCTTTCCTGCGGAGGTGCCAGGGGACACGAGGGCCTGTCCCTGCGGGCCCTGCCTGGGGAAGGAACAGATTGTTTCCAAGCTCGTTAGCAGCGACGAGTGCTCAGAGAGCACCGGGTGCTGGCTTGCAGGATGCTTTCCTGGCCAGCGCTTGCAAACAGGGTGACTGCAAACTGATGGCAAATTAGCACTCGTTAACTGAGTGTTAGTATTGCTAGGATTGCAGAACTCCGTTAATTGGGCTACGAGGAGGCCTAGGATTCCTTTATTTTCCATCAGCAAGCCCTCCTCTGTGCCTCTGGTAGTGTTGGGAATGCTGGGCGGTGAGGGCTCAGCCCGGGTGGGTGTTTGGGTGTGGTGGAGGTACCCCCAGGTGCTCCACTGCGGGGCTGGAGCAGCCTATCCTTGTGCCATCACATCAGTCCAGGAGCTGGGGCTGTAAGAAAAACATTGAATAACCCCAAACTCATGACCCAGTTCCAGGGAAAGGCGCACGCAGGCATCCCCGCAGTGCCGCAGCCCAGGGCCCGCCGGCCAGGAACGCTGGTGCTGCAGCCAGGCAGCCATTCCCAGGGAAGGGATGGGGCAGAGACCCTGGAGCAGCATCTTTCAGGCCAATCCTTTAACATAAGCTTGTAGCAAAGGTAATTTTTTTTTAAGAAAATATAAATATTTTTTTTTAAATGTATAAGTTTCTAATTAATGGTGCACTTTTTTTTTTAAGAAAGTACACTTCTAAAGAAATCAAATATTGCTGCTACAGGTCTCTGGTGCTGGAAGATTCCCTCGTCCTGAAGCAGTCTGGCAGATCAGCTCCATTCTGCAGCCACTGGGAGAGCCAGGGATGCTTACAGAGGCCAGTCCAGAGTGGTTGTAGCAAGCTGTGCTGGTTTTATTTTATTTTCATGTATTATGGGAGCTGCCACCGCTTTTTAATTAACTTGGGGATTTTTGCCTCCTTTTATGCTTGGGAGCAATCTCTAGGCAGGAGACAGTTTTCCTGGACTGATTTGCAGTTACTCGTGTAAATGATTACCCTGGTTGCAGACGTTCAAGTAAAGCAATTTCTAGCGCTGGTGTTACTGTTTGCTCTGTGCAGCTCCCTCCTCCTTTGCAGCTGGGCTGGGACCTGGGCAAATACTGAGTTTTCACAATTTTTCATTTGGTTTTGGGCTGGAGCCTTTCCAGGGACTGCAGCGGTATCGGCTCCTGAGTGGTGGCCGTGCATCTCATGAAGAGCTGGACCGATGAAATGCTGTGCCTCTGAAGCTGAGTCACCCTGGGGCTGCGGGAGGGTGACTTCAGAGTGATGGCTGGGATGTGGGTTCCCATTTTCCATGGAAATCACATTTTGAGTCTGTCCCTTTCTGTCTCCCAGCTGGGTCCCAGGACGCAGGGACACTGGGGGAGCTGTCAACATGGAGTGGCCGCGGGATGGCATCCTGGGGGGTGAAGGGGGTGCTCTGGAGGGCTGCTCAGAAGATGGGGATGGGACTTGGGTCTAAACTGCTGGAAGAGGGTGAGCTGTGAACCAAAGGGCTCCTCTGAAGACTGAATAAAAAGGGGGTTCCTTCAGGAAGGGGTTGCACAACTATGAGGAGCCTCGGTGGGAGGGATCCCTGCCTTAGGGAGGGGATAAGAGCTCATCGAGGCGGCAGAGGTGGGCCTAGCAGGGCTGGCAGCGGCTCCTGGCGTGGAGCGGGTGCAGTTCCCCACGTAGCCGCCCGCGTTGCAGGCAATATGTTAATAACACTTTGTTCTTCAGCTCTTTCATCAGAGGCGCTCAGAGCAATTCACAGGCGGCAGTTGGTGCGTGCAGCACACCCACGGTGAACACAAATCCCTTTTTTCCCTCCATTTTCACAAGTGGGGGCTGGCAGCGAGGGGCTGCCCAGGCTGCCAGGTGGGTGCAGTGGGGACGGGGACATGCTTGGTCCAGCCAAGTCCCTGCCACGTGGGGAGGGCTGGTGGCTTGAGCAAGCGGGGTGGCTCCATGGCCCTTTGTCACCAAAGTCTGGCCCCTCACTGGCAGGCTGCACAAAACTGCCACTATTTTTGTTCTATTTTTATCATGCTTTGTCAGCCAGGAAAGTAGTGTCTCAGTCTGATTCTTCCTTTAGTCCTACAAAGTCTATTTTCAGTGATGTTTGTGGTTACATGAGCTGTGTCGTGGTGGGGTGTCCCCACATGTCCCCCATGCACTGGGGTCCCACACCCATTATCAGAGTGGGCAGCTCCCACTGCCACTTGCTCTCACCACAAAAGGGACCTCCACTGTGAATGGGACCTCCCCCATGAACGGGACCTCCACCACCGGCCTGGGGACCACGCTTCCAACAGTGTCTTATCTGAGCCAGCAGTCCTGCAGGTCTCTGCTTCTTTGTCTCTTTATCTAAAGCAGCAGCCTCAGGGACCCCGCAGGACATTAATGCTGGGACAGTCAATGAGCGATGTGACGCAGGCAATGAAGCATGCCAGGTTAAACCCACTGCGTGGGGAGGTGTCGGAGGTCTTGCTGCAGGTCCTGGGCTACAGGCCAAGCATCTTTCATTCATCTGATGTGCTGGCGCGTGCCCACACCTCAGGAGCAAGGCAGGATGGGTGGCCAAGCAAAGGCTGCACTGCCCGGTCAGGAGCTGAGGGCACTCAGGATCTCTCAGAAACACACCCTGAGCGACTGCACCATCCCCCTTAGGCATTTTTGAGGCTGATGCCTTAATGATCGTGAGTGATAGAGAACCAGACCCTCAGCGCTCTGCTCGTGAGCAGCCTCCTGAACTTCTCTGCTGGCCTCACCAGCGGCCCTGGCTGAGGTTTGGCACCCCCTAGTTCCCCTGCACCATCCATGGGAAGTGATGGTCATTGCACCTCAATCCCCCTGGCCGTACATCAGCTATGAGCTCACGCTGGTCACAGCACTGCTCAGGTGGGCTGATGAAACAGCCCAGCTCTGCTCTGCACCCTGAGGATGCACAGCAAGCATGCCCGGGGCGTGCTGCAGCTACGAGGATTTGGGGCCCTGGCTCGGGTTGGGTCATGAGACCCTTTGCAGGGCAGGGGACTGGGACAACCCGGAGCAGTGGGGAAACCTCCCAAGCTGCCAGCCAGATCGGAACGTGCAACAACAGCCCTGGGGCTTGTTTGGGCTGCAGAGACCTGCGCAGGTTGGGCAGCCCACGCTGCTGCCGCTCGTTAGCAGAGACCCGGGGTAGTTCCTCTGCCTGTAATCACCCTAATGAGTAGTTGTCTTGCCCAGCTGCAGCAGAAGCAATTCTGTGACCTGCTTTCGGTGTGTTTGATCTTGCTTTTCTTGTATTTCCTCTCCTGGGTGAGCCTGCTGCCACAGCAGCTATGGTCAAGCACACATGGTCCAAGAGCACCCAGGACCTGCACGTTGACTGAAGCCAACGTCCTCTGCCACTCGCTGCCAGCACCCAGAGACTCAGTGCGTGTGCCCTGCTCACCTTCTGGTAATACATGCCTTATTAGTGACTGGCAGCATCAGTATTAATGGCTCAGGCTAATTGCCCAAGCCTGACATCATGCTGGTAGAGGAGGTGATGCCTTCCGCACATTCATAACATGCAAAGTTTGCTGCACGGGAGCTGCTGCTCCTGTGCATCCACATCTGCCCAGAAATCCCCGGAAATTCTGCGGTTTGCCTCAAGCCCCTGGGATGGTTTGGAGATTCCCCTTGCTGGTTCCCAGCCTCCCCGATGCCTCTGCAGAGGTCTCATCCTGCCGAGAGGAGCCAGCAACCATCAGAGGCGGCTGCAGGGGTGAATCATGGCTGCTTTAATCCCCGCGTCAGTGCCCTGCCCTGCAGCGCTCACCTGCCGCAGTGCCAGGCACGAGGGCTCGCCAATGAGCTGGGGCTGACGCCGACGCACTGTGCGATGCCGCAGCCTGGCCTGCAATGCGACCGGGGGCACGGGATCCCACCACTGCCAACGTGGGATGCTCCCGGAGAGGGATGGCTCTGCTTCTCCCTGCCTGCTGTAGGGGACTGTGTTTCTTTGCAGGGATATTTCTGCCTCTCAAGGAAGAGCTAAAATCAGTGCTGAATAACACTCCCAGGCATTTCTGGTGCTTGTTTTGCATAAGGACCGTGGGCCTCTGAACCACCACCCCATCTCCAGAGGAAAGCGCTGAATTTCTCTTCCCTTTATCTTCCTCCAGATGGGAGGGCAGGGTGACCTTGGAACCTGGATCTACCTGAGCAAAAAATTAGGGAAATGCCCAGAAACACAAAAAGCAGAGCAAAGCCTTCTTCAAGGAGCAATATGCGTGGATGAGATGGGCTGACTATATAGGGGTTAGTGGGTCCCACGGGGGCTTCTCCCCACCCTCCCAGACCCCACAGCTCACCCAGCTGAGAGACCCATGGCTCCACGGCAGGTCCCACAGCCTCTGTCCTTTTGTAAGGAGCACAGAGTCTGCACTGCTGCATGCCTTGCTGCAAAGCCGCCCTTGGGTGCAACATCTCTCCTTGCTCGGAAGCAGCTGCACAGCGCTGTGCTGTTCAGGAAACTGCAGGACCAAGGGACCCAGCCCTCTGCGCCCTGCCATGGGCTGCTGCTGGGGGATGCATCGGGGGTGCAGGGCTCTGCAGACCCCTTGCCTGCTTCGGGCCACTCAGAGGGAACAGTGACAGCATGGTGACCCCACTCTGCACGCATGGAGGAGCAGCTGGTCCCTGGGCATGCATTGCTGCAGGGCGGGGGCCAGCACTGTGCAAGGGCACGCACAGGAGGAGGATTTGGGGTGCAGAGTGGTGCAGCCTGCCCTAGGCCAGCATGGGAGCTCTCACCAAAGGCTTTCCCTTGGCCTCGTGGCAGCACATGCAGAGCTTGTTTAAATCAAACACAGCAGAGCAAATAAGAGCCTCAGCTGGCTGCAATGTGCTGGGGAGCTAGCAGTAGCCACCCCATGTGCCACACACTCCTGGGGGCCTCCCCTCCCTCCCCAGAGGTCCAGTGGGGCTCTGCTCCTCCCTGAATCAAAGCAGGCAGGCAGAAGCAGGCAGGGTGAGGGGAGCTGGGGGCCCTGCCCCATGTGCAAACAGCCACGGCCACGAGCTGCCCACGCAGGGTGCTCTTGGGCTGGGCTGCTGGCAGGGAGGGCTTGGCTCAGGCACCAGGGCTGGCACAGCTTGAGCCTGGGTCACTTTTATTTTAAATACATCTGCAGGGACAAGTAAGAAAAACCAAGTACAAGGGCTGGGTCATGTTTGGGGCAGGTCCCTCATGCAGGAAGGCTGGGGAAGTGCTGCGGGTGGCAGAGCGTCTGCACACCCAGCAAACGGGCATGTGGGGCAGCAGAACAGAGGTCCTGGGTTGGTTTGCACTGGTCTCCTTTAGAAATTGCTGGTGGCGGGAGGGAGAGCTGCAGGACAGATGTGTGGTAGAGCTGGGTTTAGGGTAGTGAGTCTTTTCTAACCTATTAGGTTGGTGACTTCTTGGGGGCCAGGGTTTGCAGAGCCCTCAGGAATGAGAGGAATGAAGAATGAGATTGTGGAACCAGGAATGAGCCAGCTGTGACATTATTATAGCTGAAGATGCAGCAAAGCATCATTTTTTTGTCATACCCTGATGTGGTAGAAATTCCCTTTTCTAGATTGCTGCATTTCTGTGTCAGCCCAGAAGTATTTCTGCTTACGCCAGCACCTGGAGGCGATGGACATGCCTGGGGTTCCTCAGGGCCCTGGACGGACCATCCTATGCTTCGGGACAGATCAGCTGGGTGCTGCGCTGCAGTGCCATGAGGCTGGGGGTTCTGCCGGTGCAGTGGGGAGCTTGGCCAAGCTGCCAGCTTGCAGATCTCGCTCCTGCTCTTTGCTCTCCTGCAGCTGCCAGGTGGGAAGCTGTGTCTTCCTTAACTTAGCCCTGCCTTGGCCATGCCCCAAAATACCCATGTGCTTGTTCCCTGCCCTCTATTGTGCTCCATAAAACAAAAGGGCTCTTTTTATTCGTGTGACAGCTGAAATCTGGGCTCTGCGGAGC